CGGAGCTGAGGTCAGGGCCGGGGCCTCCCCCGCACCCGGGCTGCACGGGGCCACAGGGGCAGGAAGGTGACAAGGGCCACTGGCTGACAGATCCAGAAACCGGCCGTGGGCGGTTCATCTCAGGAGTCAGGCACTTCCGTCCCTGCTTCCCAAGAAGCCCCACGTCGGGGGACTGAAGGATGAGAAAGTACACGATGCACATGAAAAGCCGGGGGCCCAAGGGTCCCCGCTGCCCACCCCAGCCCAGCCTCGGAAAGGCCACCGGGCCACCCGGGCCCCAGGGTGAGGCTGAGGCCCAACCCTCGCCGTGCCTCCCCCACCACCTGGCCGCCCGCAGGAACCGCTCCCTCTTCAGAAAAGCTCTCCCGGCCTGCACCTTTAAATAAACAAAGACAAGAGCAGCATCTGGGCTGCGTGTGGCTTTGGGGCCCTGTCTTATGGGGCGGCCACCCCGCCCAGCCCCGCCCCACCCACGTGACTGGAAATTGCTTCCATCTGTCTGTGGGTCTGGGAGCCATTCGCCACCCCACCCCCACATGTCCCTCCGCCCCTCCCCCTCCCTGCAGGACTGGGGGGGCGGGAGCCTGAACCCTCCTTCCCTCCATGTCCCCTGGAGCAGGGCTCCAGCTGGCCCGCCCAAGGCACCGCCATCCAGGACAGAAACCTGAACCCAAGCACACATCCCGCCCCCAGGCCCTGCTGGAGAAATGAGAATTCAGCCAGCCTTCTGCACAGGTGGGGCCCACGCCTGCCTCCTCGGGGAGCCCCTGGCAGGCCCCTCGATTCTGCCCACCCTGATGGCCGGCGGGCACAGTGACACGAGTGCTCCTCCCCCTGCCCCTCCCCTGCCCGCCATGGGGTCTGACCCCGGCCAGTGGGAAGAAGAGGAGCCCAGCAGGCAGACCCGCCCGGACCCCTGTGCGGCCTTCTCCAGGAAGCCACCGGCCTTTCCTTCTGCGATGACAATCCCTCTGCCTCTCTGTCCAACATGGTGGCCACATGGGGCTTTAAAAAAAAGTTGTGTTTATTGTGTTTAACTGCACTTGAGGGTAACACGTACCCCCTTAACCAGGATTAAGCGCACTGCCCAGCGGCCTGGGGCACATTCACACTGTGGTGCAGCCGTCTCCACCACCATCTCCTGAGCTTTTCCATCTTCCCAGACAGACCCTGTCCCCATTACACACCCCCCATTCCCCCATGGCCACCTCCCTCCTACGTTCCGCCCCCGTGAATCTGAGAGCTAGGTGCCTCCCGTAAGCAGAACCGGGTGTCCCTCCTGGTGAGGTTTGAGTGACCGGGCGGGTGGCTCAGCGCTGTCTGTCCGTCCACCCCCTCGAAGCCGCTCTCTGCGGGGAGTGAGCCCAGAGCGACCGGCTGGTCACACGGCCGCAGCACCTTCAATGTTTTGAGAAACCGACAACTGTCACCACATGTGACTCCTGAGTCCTGGAAAGGCAGCGCGCCCTCGTTCCGTGAACATTTACGTCGCTACAGGCCGACGCGGCGACACAGCCCAATTCCAGCCCGACTGCAACTCCTTTCGCAAACGGGGAAACTGAGGCCCCCAGAGTGGTTTTTCCTGAAAGGCCCCTGGAATGGGTCAGGCCGGCACGAGACCTTCTTTGAGCGTAACCCTGTAATTTCATACCCGCTTCTGTGACATCTGATTAGTATCTGTCGGGGTCCCTCTACAGACTGAGCTCCGGGGGGCGGCGACCCCCAGAGCCCTGTGGTGAGGGGGCACTCGGTCAAGACGCGTGAGATGGGGACCTGAGAGTCTCCGGGGGGAGGGGTGAGGGCTCTGCCACCCCAGCTGGCCTGCAGCCCCCTCCAGGCCTGTGTCCCCACCCCCCACCCCGTGACCCCTGCCTGGGACTGGGGCCCCCTCTTTCCCAAGGCCCTGCCACCTGACTGTTGTTGGTTTACACCCACATTTCATCAAACGTTATTAATAGGAAAGGGAAGTTCTTAACAGAGAAATAAGAGGTTTCACATTCACATCCGAGATCACTGCACCCTCGTCAATAAACAGAGCAAGAAGCAGCCCCACTTTTTCTCAGGGGACACTCGTGCTCAGAGAAGTTAAGTCACTGATCCAAGCTCACACAGCATCTCCTGCCTCTTCTCACTGCTCCTGGCCGCTGTGAATCCAGCGAGGGAAAGCCCTGGGGAAGGGGACCTGGAGAGGGAATAAACTGTGCCTGGGGGCCGCCCCCCCGCCCCCCTGAAAGCCTCACGCTCGCTCCCCGGGTCAGCCACCCCCTTGCGAGTGGTGTGGACCGAGAGGAGCCCTTGGTGCCCGAGTGCCGTGAGCCGTGGGCACAGCGGAGGCCCCGATGCCACACTCAGGGCTGCAGACCGGTGCCCAAGGGAACAGCCCCTTCAGGGCCCACAGGCGGTTCTGGGACCGCCAGACCAGCCAGTTTCTCTCCGCAGCTCCCACCCGCAGGCTGGGGGCAGCTGGTCCCGGCGGGGCTGCGGCTGCTCTAGCTCTGCCTGTCTTGGGGACCTGCCCCCCTCACCACCAGAAGCATCTGTGGGGCCTTTTCTCAGGATTTGGGGTGAGGGAGGGGTTTCCAGAGTGAGGCGGGAAGCGGGGCAGGAAAGGACGGGGTGACCTTGCTGTCTGGGTGCCTCCGCGGGGCCGTCATTCACAGCCCGGCCAGCACCATCTGAGGGCGTCTGCAGGAGGGACACATTCTCCCCGCCCGGGCTGCTGAGGGTGACGGGATCGATAGCCGCCTGTGGACCGCAGGGCCTGGGCTGTGAGATGCAACCCCAGGAAGGAGCCAGCTATGGGGGGACGCCTCTCGGGGAGCTCACACTTCATCACACAGCCCCGGGCAGCCGTGGGGAGGGCTTGGCGCAGGGCCGGGCTCGGAAGCCCACACCAGGTCACCCTCTGCCGGCCCTGCCCTGCCCGTCTGCACCGCAGAAACATCCCTGAAAGCCCATCCCTGCAAACATCGACGCGGCTCTGCCGGACTTGGCTCTAAGCCAGGGACGGGCAGCCAGGCAGGCCCTGCAGCACCAGAGAAAGGCCGAAGGAAGCACAGGGCCCCACAGCCACGACCAGGAGGCACTGGACGCTGGTGCAGGGCTGGCTCCAGGCCCCCTCCTCTCAGTGCTCTCAGGAGATGCGGCCCAGCCATCAGGAAAGGAACCTCGGGCCAGTGCGTCCCAGGCCTGTGAAGGGACACTCACATTTTACTCTCCATGACCTCTGAGGAAAGGCAGCTGAGACCAAGCCTGGCTGCAGCTCTTCCCCACCAGCCACCAGGCTCAGCGCGTGGTCCCGGATTCCAGGGCCCCCTCAGGGTCGGCCACAGCTCTCCCAGGACACTGCCGATGTGGGCAGAGCCTGTCACACCCGCCGCCCCGGCCAAAGCTCTCGGGCAGACCCACACAGAACGGATGATCCACATGCCCCTCCGCGTCCTAACAGCAACTCCAGGAGGCTGCCTGGTTGAGCTAACAACATCCCCGGGGTCTCAAAGATGACTCCCCACTTCTGGTATCAGTGGCTGGTGGAGGGAGAAGCTGGTGCTCACCAACTCTGCATGTGCAGGTGAAGGAAAGAGAGCGGAAGGCATTGGGGCTGGAAACCAGATGCGCATAGAGTTGGGAGGGAACTGCTCTGGAAAAAGATGTTAAAGAAATGGCTATACAGAATAGTGATAGAAAAAGATCCTGGGGTCCTAGTGGACCAGGACCACAAGATCGATTCATTACACAAATATTCCTTGAGGGCCTACCACAAAGTAAGAAGAGAGAAGACACTACAGGCTGGAGATGAGTGTGAATGAAAACAGCGATAGCACAGAGGAACGTGAAGTCCATTGACTCAAATACTCATTACCCAGCACTTCCAGAGTCACGGTAGCACCCTTTCGGTAAGGAACTTAGTCGGTAAACAGTCCAAGACTCCTGTGTGCGTGTCACAAATCTTTTTTAAAAGCTGTCAAAGGACTCCCTCCCTCAAAACAATACCCACCA